TGCTGGATACTAAGGGCTTTGTCTTACTTGCTGTAAGTACCTTTATACTATTTAGAAGGATTTTAGTTTAAATATGTCCATTTTAGCTTTGAATTTTGTCACAGACGCTTAGTGTACTTGTGACAAAAAGTCTTATTCGCTTCTTCTTTCGTATAGATACACATCATCACATCAACAGCTTTTACCAGTCCACTACTGGACATTGGCCTCTAGCTTCTGGCCTACTATACCACGCTGGCCAGACGGCTTCGTATGGGGTTTGTGTCAAGTTTTCCTTCTCTCTGCAGTGCTGTTGTTATGCGTATTTTGCTCCCTTAGTCGCCTCTTACGACACCCACGGGATGACACTCTGTATTCTTAATCCGTCACCACACGGACATGATATAGATACAAAACGTATAGATACAAAAGTAAATATAATAAAATAATAATACAAAAACAAAGCTGATAATATGTTGTTTCATTTCGATTCAAGAAGGCCTGTAGGTTTCACCGGATCACCTGATGAAAAGTGACCATCGCCTCCCATGAACGTCAGTAACTTAATTGTCACAAACGCGTTGCCGGCCGTTTAGAAGGAGTACACTATTTTCTTGATGGTTTGAATTTCGTATCGGTCCGAAAATACCGCAGACGATAACTCGTTCCACAGATTGGTTGTGCGGGGCTAAAATGTCTAGAAAATCGCACAGTAGTGGAGCGCCAACTAGATTCAGGCTTGTGATGCGTAGTGTATCTATAATACGTTTTTTAATTTGGATATTTCTGCCCACACATTCAAAATATGCAAGGAGTGAAAAAAATATGTATCGCTAGAGATGATGTTACGAATTGTAAGCAACAACTTAGCGTACTTAGGTGGTTAGTTGAAGAGATCTAGGTAAACTTATTGTGGGGTGCGTGGTCCGGAACCTCCTTGTGGTGCACCCTGGGCAACGGGGACGGCAGCGCCTCTCTCCCTAGGTGGGAGAGGCGCTGCCGCCTGCGGCCAATTCCGGCCGAGGTGGGAACGGCCTGTCAAGGGCTGTTCGGAGGGCTGCTTTCCGCATGTCCCTCTGTTTGGCAGAGGGCATAGGGGAGAGCGGGCTGGGGGCGGACGGGTCCACTGCCGCTGGCTCTGTCCAGAGGTGGTGGACACTGGTCTGACGCAGACCACCGTCCGGCCATGTCGTAACCCTGACTGGCAACAGTAGGAATGACGGCTCTTCGAGGGCTACGAGGAAGGCAACCTCTATAAAAAACCCTGGGGCGGACGGACCCGGTCTGGTGCAGACCCCGTCCGGCCCAGCCGTAATCCTGAATGGACAGGACCGGTGGATCTTCGGATCCGCGAGGACGTAAACCTCTATAAAAAATGCTCTAAGCCCACGTTCTGACGCCTGGCGTCGCTGGAGGGAGTCCAGTGCCGAAGGCGTCCCCGTCGAAGGACGTAAAACTTACAAAATGACATGAGGCCAACTACAGAGAAATCTACCCAGGAGGGTACCGGGCACACAGTGTCTGGGGAATCCCTCCCGGAGCCAAACGGCTCCGGCAGCTCCCACTCGTATTCTGGGGGAAACACCAAATGTCAAACCTGCCCGTCGCCGAGCAGTAAATCCGGCGACGTTATCGCGGAGGACGCGAGAAACCTGGAGGTAGTGTCGAACACCGACACTGCCTCGGAGAGGAGCGGAGCGAGTACCCCTATGGTCTCAGCTGTGGAGCAGCACCAGAAGGGTACTCCAAAGCGCAAAAGGCGCTCGCTTCGCCTGGGCCTGAAGAGGCAATTGGAGTCGGCCTCGAGCGATGAGGCCTCGGCTCCCAAAGTCGGCACAAGCCGCAGAGGCGCTCGCGGCGGAGGCCGACTCCCCAAGGCCATGGTGGCCCGAAAGAAGGTGGCGGTCCAGTCCGCGGCTCTGGGAGGAGCCGAAGATGGGGGTCTTGGACGGAGTAAACAGGAGGGGGTCGCGTCCGAGATGTCGACCACTGATGTGGGGAGCGGGGGTGGGGGTGCTGGCCTCGTTGAGCTACGAGGCAAAACCGGCAACCCCGTCGACCGGATCGAGGAGGCAATCGGCGCGGCCGATTCCTTGCTTCAGACGTCCGGTGTGGCCGGGGGCCCCCAACAGGAGGCCCTGGTAGCGGTCGTGCGCTCCATAATCGAGGCGGGCAGACTCCTTGTGGCCGAGAGCAGGGCCCACGCTAGGGAGAGAGCCCGCCTCGAGGCGGATCTCGCCAAGGCTCGTGCCCACGCTGGTGCCACACCAGCGTCTTCGGCACCTGTGGCGTTGTCCGCCCGTAAGGAGCCGGACTTAGTCCGACTCGTGGCGGAGATGGAGGAGCGTATAATGAGGCGCATCTCCGCAATAGAGAGCGCCCGTTGTCGCCCACCTCTGGCTCCGCCAAGGGCAACCTATGCGGCCGCTGCCAGGGCGGGCCTAACAGCCCAGCCAGCAGCTAGGGTGGCTGGGCCGTCATCAGCGCCCCCGCCCCAGAAGACCGGAAAGGGCAAAGGGAGGGGGAAGGCGGCCCCAACCCAAGCCCCAGTCTCGGCCCCGGCTGACACCGCACAGCGCTCGTTGGAGCGGGGCTGGACGGTGGCCGGGGACAACAAAAAGAGGCGGAAGGCCGCCAAAAAAGCGGCCAAGAAGGCGAGGAGGGACGCCGCCGCCGCCGCGAAGGGAGCGCCGAGGAGCCCTCGCTCCTCGGCCGTCGTTATCACTTTGACGGCGGAGGCAGCGGAGAGGGGCGTGGGGTACGCCGAGGTCTTGACGAAAGTCAAGGCCAACGTGGACCTCAAAGCCCTCGAGATTCCGGGCGTCCGGTGTAAAAACACACGGACGGGAGCCCAGCTCCTCGAGGTCGCCGGCGCTACCAGTGGCCCCAAAGCCGACGCCCTAGCGGCTAAGCTGAGGGAGGCACTGGATGCAGCTGACGTCCGAGTGTCCAGACCCACTAAATGCGCAGAAGTTCGCATTACGGGCCTGGACGACTCTGTCACGGCGGACGAGCTCAGACTCGCCGTGGCGGAGACGGGAAGCTGCCCTCTGGACAGCGTGAAGGCCGGAGCAATACGCTTCGGCCCCGGTGGACAGGGGGCAGCGGTTGTCAGCTGCCCCATTGCGGCGGCCCAGAAGGTCGCCGATGGACGGAGCCTCCTGGTCGGAGGTTTCCTGAGGGCGCAGGCACGACTCCTGCAGGCCCGACCGGCAAGGTGCTTCAGGTGCCTGTCGGTGGGTCACGTAGGGGTGCACTGCACGGCGGAGGCCACCGTAGGTGACCGATGCTTCCGCTGTGGCCAGCCCGGTCACAAGGCGGGTGGCTGCAACGCTCCGCTGCGTTGCTTTAGGTGCGCAGCGGGGGGCAAGCCTGCCGACCACCGGGTTGGTGGTAAGGCCTGTGCCCTATCGCGACCGAAGCCGGGAGGCCGACCTTCCGCCTCCGAGCCGCTGATCCAGACGGAGAGTGCCGCTGGACAGCCGCAAAGCTCGCTGCGGGATGCGGGGATGGAAGTCCAGTGATCCACATCTCCGCATCCTCCAGGTGAACGTAGGCCACGGTGCCGATGCTCAGGATCTTCTGCTCCAGAGCATGGCACAGTGGTCCATCAACATCGCCGCTATCGCCGAGCCATATGTCCATCGGTTTCTCGGGCCTGCCTGGGAGACCGACTTGGACGGCACGGCGGCCCTGGTGCACGGTACCGCAGCCGGCACTCCACCTCTTGCAGTAGTTGCAAGGGGACGGGGCTGTGTAGCGGCGATAGTTGGAGATATAGCGGTCGTGGCCGCTTATTTCACGCCGAACCGAAACCTAACTGAGTACGAGCAATGGCTCGCTCAGCTGGCCGTCGTCGTCGATGCCTGTCGCCCCCACCCGGTTCTTGTGCTGGGGGACTTCAACGCCTGGTCGCAGGCTTGGGGTTCCCTGCGCACGAACCCGAGGGGCAGGGCATTGGAGAACTGGGCTGAAAGATTCGGCCTAGTTCTCCTAAACCGGGGGGCCGTGGCCACGTTCGTGACGGCGAGGGGTAGTTCGATCGTGGACATCTCGTTCGCATGCCCCTCGCTAGCGCGTCGTGTCCAAGGCTGGCGCGTCGTTGTCGGGGAGGAGACAGGTTCGGATCACCGATATATTCGGTTTGACGTCTCCGCCCCTGCAGATGGCGCGCCGGTCAGACCGGCACCACCTTTGGGCCACCACCAACCACGTTGGGCGCTCAAGCGCTTAGATCGCGACCTCCTCCTGGAAGCCGCCATCGTACAGGCCTGGGCTCCTGCGCCGGACAGGCCTGTCGACGTCGATGCTGAAGCACAGTGGTTCCGGGAGGCCATGACCCGCGTCTGCGATGCGGCGATGCCTAGGGCTCAGCCCAATACTGCAAGGCGCCAGGTCTACCGTATGGTTAGGGGCAAGATGCGCCCATGGGCCCCGCCGCTCACACGGTGTCTTCAGCCAGAGCTGCTTGAGAGGGTCGTTGGCTCCCTGTTCCCAACGCGAGTGGTGGAGCATACTCCGCCACAGATGGCTCCGCCTCCGGCGCTTGAGGCGCCTAACGTGGATGACGACGACGTGCCTGAGGTCACTGGGGTGGAACTAAGGGTGGCGGTGTTACGGCTTAAAGCCAAAAACACCGCCCCGGGACCCGATGGCATTCCTGGCCGAGCGTGGGTCCTGGCCTTAGTCGACGAGGCTCTCGAGCCCCGACTGCGAGGGTTCTTCAGCGCATGCCTCGAGCGGGGCCAGTTTCCGAAATTGTGGAGGACGGGGAAACTGGTCCTCATCCGAAAGGAGGGGCGCCCGGCGGACTCACCGTCCGCCTACCGGCCCATAGTGTTGCTTGACGAGGTGTGCAAGCTCTTTGAAAGAGTGATTGCAAGGCGCCTCGTCAAGCATCTCGTGATGGTTGGGCCGGATCTGGCGGACAACCAGTACGGTTTCCGTCAGGGGCGCTCCACCGTGGCATGACTTTGGCGTGACTTTGCAGCAAAATTTATAGCCTCAAATACTCTTTTCAGATCTGTGTCACCTACACGTCGTCAGAATATATAATTTCTTCCGATGGATGGGTTCCAATAACAAGAGATCACGTATACAACCCAACGAATTTCATACACACTCCTTTGAAACCACACACCATTACCAGTAATACTATTAAAGTAATAAAAGCACAAAACGACCAAGAAAAAGATAGTAAACTAACCAAACAATTGGATTCGTTCCTGCAAAGTGGATCTACCCCATTTTTGGGATTTAGAGCTTCAGTTAACGTGGATGATAAAACAACAGTTGAAAATAATGAAAATATACGTAATGCTACTGAATCTTTGAGAAAAGCAAAGAAAATTTTAGAGCGAAGTGATGAGAATTATCTTGGTCATGCAAGTATGAGGAAGTATGATAGTGTATTGGAACAAAATGTTGGTGGTAAAGTACCAACAATTACCAATAGGGCTAACAGATATGAAGTAGAAGAACCAGAAGAAGATACCGATAATCATCAGGATGCAGATCAAGACACTTTGGAACAAGGCTTTGGATATGATTATACACCACCACTTCCCCAAAATTTAAACTTCAGTTCAACACTAATCAATATACTCTCTAAATATAATATCAAAACGGATGAAAAGCTTCAAAATTATGACTTGTCTCGTCAGCGTAAAGCTAAAATTCCTTTTGTCCCAGAAATTTCATATTCTCGGCATAGATATAACAGCTTAAATCATTTGCCTGTGGACCCATTGCTCGCTGTTTTTCTATCCAATTATGGATTCTACATTCCAAGTTTATATGGGATCAAATCTAATTATAATAATTTGTACGGCTATCTGGCTTCAAATAACATACACAATAATAGACCGTTCGGTTTGTACAAAATTTTCTCCGACACAGATTCATGGAATTAGGAATAGTTTGTTATGTTTTGGTTTAGTTCTATTATTGTTAATGTTAATTTTCGGGTTTGTTAATTTACTGTAAGGGTTGCGATAATTTTGTTCATCATCATCATCATCAGCCTATCGCAGTCCACTGTTGGACATAGGCCTCTCCCATTGCACGCCACTTAGATCGATTTTGGGCTTCTCGCATCCAGCTCCTGCCAGCCATCTTGCGCAAATCGTCACTCCACCTGGCCTGTGGGCGTCCTACACTACGTTTGCCGAGACGTGGTCTCCACTCAAGAACTCGTTTTCCCCAACGGTTATCGGTTCTGCGGCTAATATGGCCAGCCCACTGCCACTTCAGCTTGCTGATCCGGTACGCTATGTCGGTGACCTTAGTTCTCTGCCGGATCACCTCATTTCTGATTCTGATAATTTTGTTCTTGTTTAAATATTATATAATAATGTTTTAAGGTAAAACTTATTAGCTACGTTGATAATATTATTTGTGATGAAAGTTGTTTGTTAATTTAACTTTAAGGTTTGTTTTGTTATGCTATACAAGCTATATTTTATCCATAAATTATTATTGTATGATGTAGAGTAGTATAGTACTTGAGTATAGCGATAAAGAAGTTGTTTATGAAATATTTAAACATGTAGGTACATATTAAGGTTTTAGAAGATCAAAATATGAACTCAGTGACAAGCTTGTAACAGCAGGGCACGGTTTTTATCAATACTTGAGGTAAAATGGCCGATTTATTTGTGTTTTTCTTAATGACATTATTTTAAATTAATTAAGAAGATGTATTATTTTTTGTCTTTTTCTAAGTCATAGATCAGTGGACAGTTCATATTATTTTTATTAAAATGTAAAGTTAAGTTTGTTTCGTAAGAACCTTGTCTATAAATTATGTTGTTGTCTTGTCTATATATCTAATAACCGATATCCAATTGAAGGATGTGTAAATGACCCACAACACTGTTATGTTTCCACGGACTCTTCAGGGCTTAAATCACGAATTTTAACCTAAAAATGTTTTTATTAGCGCAGCTGTACAAAATTACACACTTTTTACAGAACAATGAACTTTATCTTCGAGAAGATAGCTCTGTAAATAGATTGCGTGGTAAAATAGGAACTGGGCCATCAGTTGGAGTTGTTCCAAAGGCCACACACTTGACAGTTTCATAGTTAGCTGTGAAAAGTTGCCTATGTACTAGAGCCAGTTTATGTCGCCAGTCGGCTTCTTTTGAGATTTCAATAAATTAATGAATAAACTTCGGGATTTACAAGAATAATTATTTTTTTAATTTCTAAGCAAAAAGTATCTACTAGAAAAAAAAACATATTTTGGTTAGTGATATAATATATTAATAATAATTCGTTTTATCAGTAAATGTTCAAATATTAACACATGAAGTTTCGAAATTAGGTTCTTAAATTATAAAATTATGGACAATTACATTTGTCTGTCTGGAATATAAATTCATATTCTTTGAATATACAAAAGTTAACTACTGTATTTAAAACCAAGGCAAAGTTTAAATAGCTTTGTGAATATATTGAGCTGTACGTTTGGCAATAAAATACACTTTATATCCACAGTTCCCAGAGAGCCAATTTAAATTTTCACTTTAAGCATAATTTCATTTTTACCTCAGTAAATTATTTTAAGCTTAAAATTTACTTATATTTTAGTCTCCATGTATTTAGACCCTATGGGCAAGACCGTATTGGGTATTAAGTATGGGAATCATGGAAGTATTAATTGAACAGGAAAGGTTAAATGGGAGGATGAGCAACAAGATACTGCTTATACGGATTCATTGGGGATTGTAAGCCATTGCCAATAATTCCTAATGTTTCAAGTAAGTTTGGGTTGAATACCTATTACTAGAATAAGCACACACTCGTGTGGAGTTTACCAGTATGGAGGACTTAAATCGTATTTAATAATTTTATAGTAGGAGTAAGGTTTTTTAAAGAAACTACAAAAACGTTTGCTGCAATAAATTGTTTTATCTTGTAAAAGTAATACTAACATTTTATTTATTAATGTTATAGTCGATTAAACATTTTTATATGTAACATACTTAGAAGAAAACGGAACAAGCGCTCATCAGCGCTTCGATCGTAATCAGGACTCATACACTCAGTTAAACATGTTTCACGGGTCGGAGGCTCGAATGTTCTCAAATATATCGTAAATACTTTCAGATATGTTCTTACGTGAGGAACATGAAAAATATTGGATATATTTGTAAGAATTATTGGCTCGAGGTGATTTTCTTGTTTCTAGATAAAGTCCTTGAACGTATTACCAATAAAATATGAATTATTATTATAAATACTGGTGAATAAACTGAGTTGCTGCTTCTTCGGGATAGGGGATTATTCGTCCTCTGTCATGTTCCTCATCTCCGGACTTCTAATAATAAAAGAGTATCCGATTTTGGAATTATTCCCAACAAAAATAAAACTTGAGACAAAGTATGTAAGTCTAAATTTATTAAAAAGTAATAAAGGAAAGTTAGATCTACCAATTATCTTAATATCGTTGTATAGCATTAGCACAAATCTCGTTGGTCAATACTTTATAGTCTTGGAGTATGTCCAACACTTCTGTTTGCTTACTCAATGTACACTAATATTCGAATATTCCAAGAGTTATGCTCCAAACATGACCGGTAATGTTCGTTTTGATATCCAATGTAACTGAGATATGAAAGGTGGATCATTTGTACATTTATCTTAGGAAAAACAACCAAAGAGGTTAAATATAAATACATATATATAGTTCTAATTGTGTACTATTTCCTCACGGGTGACGACGACGCGTTAAGCCATATGTGCCGAAATATGGCTCTCCCACGGCAATCCAGTAATAAGTTCATAACTTCGCCAGGCTTACGATCCAAGATTGTCTATTGAAAGAAACAGTAGTTGCGGTTCCCCATTCTACCAGCAATTGTAGCAGTGTAAGGTATAAAATTATGGACAAACTAGAACTTGAAACCTAATGCCACGTTTAAGTTGGAAGAATGTGATTACTGACTCTTACAACAACAACAAGATTCGTATTAAAAATCATCGGTTTAAAATTAAAACGCTGTCAACGATGTCAAAAATAAAACATCTGTAACTTTATAAAGACTACTGACCTGGCAGAACATCGACCTTTTCATATGACTTGTTTCATTTCATTGGCCATTATGATTGATAGTACTTAATCCTGGCGCCTACTATAACTACGCGAAGTAAGTAGGAAAATGTTTGCATCGGCGGGCTCACTGCGAAGACTTCGTAACTTCCTACCAACGGTCACTACAATTGCGCTAGCTGATTCCCTGCTTATCCCTGTACTCGATTACGCTGATGTCAGCTATCTCGAAATCACTGAGGAGCAACTTGATAAACTTGAGCGCCTTCAAAACTTCTGCATTAGATTTATATTTGGTTTACGTAAATCACTCAATATCGTAAATTACTCAAGTGGCTTCCAATTCGACTTCGACGGAATACATATAGTATTTTATTCAATCCATTAACCCCTCCTTACTTAAAGGAACGTGTTCCTCAGTGATACACATCTGAGATCCTTAAGGTCGTCGGAATCTTTGGAGCTAATGGTACCTAGCCATACTACCATATTCTATGACAAATCTGTCACGGTTCAGGCTGTCAGATTATGGAACGCCTTGCCGATATCTATAAGAAGTGCCCGAATACTGACGGCATTTAAAAATATGGTCAAAGTTCACTACTTGAGTTCATAGTACCACTTGCTTCCTATAACTGTACATGACTAATGTTTTCATGGTTAACAATATAAATTGTTTATACTTACAATGTATATATGTATTTGTATGTATGGATATGTATAATTATATAACGTATATTTATTTATTTTTACACTACGTTAGCTTCAATACACGTAGACTACCCACTGTTTCTTCTTATCTATTGTCGATTTGTCCCTCCAAAGGTTGCCTGTAAGAGATTGCTATTAGCAAAAAGGCCGCCCATTGCACATATCCATCTGTAATATTTAAACATCTTACTGTAAATGGTGTACAATAAAGCATATTCTATTCTATTCTATTCTATATTTTGCATTGTCATTGAACATTTGAACACGGACATGTTAAAATTTATATACTGGACCCTATAGTTTTGTATCGCTCTTTTTATATAATTTTAAACTTTACAACACAACAGGTTCCATATTGTTTTAAATTTTCACTTCTTCTAAATTTAACATTACTTAATGTAGGTACTCCAAACCTGATATAATTCCGAGTGCTATACTTGATTAGAGTGAGATACAAAGATTTCTTTACGTATTCATTAATAGATAGTCGTTTTAATACAAACATAATAATATATAATAATACCATTTATACGCTGACTTATACTGACACACTATCGTTTAAAAACAAAAAGACATTTTGGTGGAGGAATTCATAGATTGCTTGTATTTGCCGGCAATACGTCGTGGTTTATTCATCAGTTCTTGTTGGAAACACGCCCATTCTCAATAAACTGCTGATAAAACTCGAGCCGGAGCGGACACACTTTGTTATGTGGTCCTATTGCTACCTGCTGGACAAGGTTTAGGCACTTAGCGTTTTATTATTTCTCCTTTAGTTGACAACAGTAAGTAGCAATATCATCATATTGAAGTACATTCAATAGTATTCTTCGCCAGACATAACGAAGATACAGCAAACAATGCAGTGGCCACTAAATCCCGCATCGCGCTATGAAAGTTCTAGCACCGGTTACTATTTAGATATACAGCTTCCAAATATCAAGAGTTGGACTTAAAACAAAAACACCAGCCCCCACATCAGGACCTACCTCTGTAAACAGGTAGCGAAGAATGCTATTGGTAGGGAGTCGTCGCTTCAAACCACGGGACGTTGTGACGTCTCAAACTCAAAAATATCTTTAAGTAGTAAAAAAAAAATGAATTGTCTCTTGTGTAGACTATCTCTTACAATAAATATCACTTACA